GGTGTCCATCCTGAGAAATCGCCAATGTAGACCTTCATATTTCCGAGGCTATGTCCATTGGCGTGTAGGGAGTGTGCAATAAAAATATGTCGTATTTACATTTTTTATTATATATATATATATATATAGTTATCACGTAACAAGAAAGATAAACTATACACAAGCATGTTAACTAAACATCTACTACGGGGAATGCCAACTTATATCAGCATAAGAGACGATTATGTTCTTATTAACTTAAAATATAGATCTTTAAGATTTGTGCTCTATCCATGTTGGCAAGATAGATATAAGATCGGCCCAGAGGAAATCCAACGGTTTATTAACCACATGTCAAGTCAAGCTAATGTAATCGGTCTATTCGTTATAAACATTGGATTTAAGAGTGAAGCTTTAAACCAAGCAACGGATTCAAAAATATTTTTATGCACCAACGATAATCTTATAGAAATTGTTGAAAGATGTTATGAAGACACAAAGAAAGAAAGTTTTTTAAACTTTGGTCATGTTATAATCAAAGATCTCGAATTTAATGATGGACCAGCCGATTTAGTCCATATTAATGAAAGATAGCGTTTATTGATGGTTAATAATTATTTTTTGCAAAAAATAAAAATGTAACTTTGAAAGCTTTTAAATCAAATAAATGTTTAGTATTATTTTTACAATAAATCTTATAATAAACGCGAATAATTAGAATTTGTAGCAAAAAAAACTCGATTTCTAATGATAAAGAAGTACTCAAAGAACTTAACAATAATTTGAGACAAACTCAAATTGCTTGTTACCTTAACCATTATAAATTTATCATCAATTAACAGTCAATTAAGGCATGGATATGATAGCGCTCTTATATTAGATGACGCATATATTGAGCTTAATATCGCGTCGGTCGATTCTTACTGACAAATTTAAAATTCACCACCCGATTGGATCTCTTTTATCTTGGTTATTGTAGTTGTGTAGGAGGATCAGGTTCTTTATTAGATAGTCAAAATGATTCAGTGTATACATATTACTGTCTATCAGTGCTGAGGCCTTCAAGTTAGTTAAATTACTTAGCACAATATTGATTCCAGATTATAGCTAGTATAATTAGTACAGGGGAGATTAATTCCCATTCGCTTATGCCACCAGCCGCAATACGGTGGTGATCTCCTAATTTGTCAGCTGTTTTCCCTGGTGAGGGAATTTGGTATTATAATACTATTATTTAGAAATTTCTGATGAAAGAATCCAACACTATTCTCAAATTTAACCATATTTATATCATTAATTATTCAGATCGGTCTAACAGACATGAAAAATCAAATAAAATATAATCTATATTTAAATTTGATCATTTTTTTCTGTTGTTTCCCAAGGTGACGATGAAATATCTAATAAATTTACAGCTGATGTGGGGAATCCGAAATTCTGCTTAATAAAATTAAAAATCCGATTAGAGCGGGTATTGAAACCTCTGGAAATCTGGAAATATTGTGAATTCTCCATGGTATAGTGATCCACGAATTTTTGAAAACGGCTATAAGCAAAGCAATGAATTGTAGATATCACAAAAATTCCCTACTTGACTCATTATCAAATATTAGATTTTACAAAATGTCGTAATAAGATATAAACTTTAATTGAAACACAAATTTGAGATTATATGAATTTTGATTGAGACATGGGTAAAATGCGCGTTTTGAGATATGCTATGCACATGATTGCGCTATTTACAATACCTGATACTGTACGTATAACGTACGTAGCAATAATTAGCGCGTTTTGAGATGCTATGCACATGATTGCGCTATTGATACTGTGTACATACGTAGCAATAATTAGTGAATGAATCTTTTTGTAACTTCTGTAATAGCCTTTGTGCAAGGTTATCGAGTGGCTGTGTTATACAATTAAAAAATTTAGCGAATTTTGTGGCTTTCACATCGTACTTTAATAATATCCAACAGCTTTTATATTATTAGGCAAATACTAAATAAATTGCTATATAAAAACTGTTGGATTCACCAAGTGAGCCACCCGATAACCTTGCACAAATACCATTATAAACTGTATAAAAGGATTTTTCAATGAATTGTGTAACCATATCGGTTTCCCTGATAAACTCGAGTTATTCCAACCTCAGAAAATACTTGATTACATAATAAAATCCACATGCATAATTTATTTAGCTGTAAGCCTCGGTCCAAATCTTACGTATCGGTATACGTATAGTAAATAACCTTGAGTATATATTTCTATTTAAGGTATATGATTCGAGTAATTTAGGCAAGTTATTTTGTCAAATCAATCGTGAATGTTTTCTTTAGTGATTTACTGTAAAAAATTCTGGTTTACTGTACTTACTCGCTATGGTGATACGAATGATTTAGATATGGATATGGTAGTTTTGTATTGGAATGAACGTGTTTTCTATAGTTAGTGATGGGACCTCCTGAATTATTATTAATAATTAATAAATGTTCCCAGCGAAAAAGGAGTGATGATCAAATGAAACTCATTTATAAATAATATAAAGTTTTTTTTTCAGATATATACACGCAAATATTTTTTTTCTGATCAAAAAATGTATGTTAGACTTAATACTCAAGAATTCGAAATACCAGAAGAGTTATCACGGAATAGTAGATTGGATCGAAGATCGAGAAGAATTGAATATTATCAGATTAAACCAGACATAAAAGAAGCAATTGCTAAAGCACGTTCGTTAAATTTTCTGACCCTCCGTAATAACAATCTTGGGTGATAATTTTTTGATTGGAAGATACGGATCGTTACATTTTTACATGGAAACCGTGTGGATATGTGGGAGTAGCCCAATGCAAAGCTTGGTTTGCAAAATATTATATTTGTATGTTTGATTATTAATTAAAATGCAAACTTATTAGTATAATAATTAAATAATTTATTTATAGCCCGAAAAGAAGTTGATGAATTTAGATCGGTGGTATTATGATGGGGAGTTCGATTTTGGTGTTGTTGTTGGTGTATTGTATGAAAGAATTTCGGATAAGGCATATAACTCGGCTGAAAATTCGGAACATGATATTATTGTCACACTTATGATCATGCAAAGGATTAAACATATATATAAGTTGTATATAAATAAGTAATTTCTTCAGGTGGTTTTAATTCATTAGCTACAATTAAATTCAGCTCGTAATTGTTCAATTACTTGGTTTTGTATTTCTTTAGACCTATATATTATGTTATGAATAATTCAAATACAGTACATATATAATTTAAATAATAATCTTCAACTATATAGTAAACTATTGATAAGTACCACGATGTTAGACTAGGCATTAATTTTGATCAATATCCAGATATTTAAAAACTTGAACTAGATTCTATCGCTATTTCATGTGTTACACAGCTTAACAGTACTTCGGGTTATACTTCGAAGTATACCCGATTTAATGCTCCAAGTTATATTTAATTTAATGCTCCAAAAGTAGTACTACGGAGTCTTTTGAAGATTACTCTGCCGAAGTACACACCAACCACACCACTCCGTTGCATTCTGTTACATCCAATATAAAACGAGTAATGAATTATTCATTACTAATTTTATATTGGTATTTAGATTAATAAAATCGTATCTTAAGCAAAATTTATAATTTTTATTAGTCGTATAGTCATTACGGTTTTCTACGTACAAACTATATTTTATATTTTATTTACGTATGCTACAGTATTTAATCTGTAGGAACAGAACTTTATAAATTTGTCGTCAACAAAAGTATTGTAGTTATAAGAACTTAAATTTTTGTGTTTTCCTGATCAATCAATGCCTTTTACTCAATATAAATATTATCTTGATCGAAAAATTGCCTGTATTCCAGACGTACTTTCAAAGTTCCAACGATTTATCCTATGGTTTTCGGAATTCTCAAGACAAGATATGTTAATGAAAAATTTAGCGAAAAAAATGTCGCGCTTTTATGAGTATTGCATCTTCGTTCCGGCCACTTGCTGCAGGATATACATGAACTTTTTCTAAATTTTATCTCGGCAGGTGTTTCAGGTGCGACTATACAATTATGTTCTTAAATTATTGCCGTTAGTTTTGTCATTGATTTAGAAGCTAATTACTTTTTTGATATCAGATACCTGATACTTCATGTCCCTTGAAAATATTTACATTAATGGTCCAATTATGGTCCTTAGTTTACGAATTAACAGAGTATATGTCTTTATAAACCTTTATTTTGATTGGCTAAGAGCGACGATCAAAAAAGTTAGCTATATGGGGGGGTGTCAATAGAAACCAAGCAAATCGGTAAATCGGTGGTTTTGAGATAACGTGATTTTTGTGTTGTGTTACACAAACACATAAACAATGATCGACAATCCGAACCCACTCGGCCACTCATGCGGCCTTGATCGGAAAGCACCGTTTAGCATATACGGTTCAATGGAAACCAAGCAAATTTATTAGACACATTTGCTTGGTTACTATTGACTATTTGTTAAAGAAATTATTTAGGTAATGTGCAAATATGACAGTTTAAAAGATCAGATGATTTATTTCCGATCAATTATGATCGGATGATCAATTTCTGACCAAATTGTCTAAACGTAAATATCTCAAATTTTTATTAATTAATCAAAGGGTCATTATTAAGTAAAAAATATTCTTTACAATGTTTTATATTAGTTAAGCGTAAAAACTAAATTTTGAAAAAATTTTGATTTGCTTGGTTTCTATTGACACCCCCATATATTACAGAATACCAGAAGTGCAACAATAGAATTCCTACCTTCCTACCCTGCATTCAGAATGGCTTATGCCATTAAGGCCAATAAACAACTACAATTGAATATTTCACAACCAACATCTACAATTTCTTCAGTTTCAACCCTTCATGAGTTTTTTGTAAAACTAAATAAAGATTATGATGATGGTGATAATGATTATTTAAAATTGGAAATGGCATTTGCAAGAGAAAACTAACCGTAAATGGTATTAAAGATTTAAACGACGAATATCTAAAGAAAGAACTAGGGGTTACAAAACGTGAATGGCTAATAAATATTAAACAAGCAGCAAGTAAATATTAATGCAGTAGTTATATATATATATAACGTGGTTCTAAACTATCAATACCTTTTATTTTAAAGGTTCCATCTTTTTTTCACCTATTATAATGTTTTTAAAATTTTTAGCACAAATTTTCATGTTGGGTTAATATTTGTGTTAGAATGAGAGTTTAGAAAGAGTTTTTGGGGATATAGAGCAATTTTATTTAGAGTATCGCATAATAATTAATTAGGCTAGTTATGCATTTTATATTAAATAAAATAAATAAAAGCAAATATTTTTGCATGATTATTATTATGGTTTAAGAAAAAAAAAAGCCCAAGTCTTTAATAGAGGGTTTCAAAGTTAACAAGTAAGTGGTAAATAAAATGAGTGTTTGAAAAATCTTAATTGTTTTTCAAGACTTAAAATTGAAAAATGAAATGAGTGTTTTGGAGATCCCACATTGTAAAAAAATAATAAAAAGTAAAACTTCCGTTCAAATTCAATTAAATTTAAATTTCCGCGGTTTAACTTTGAAACCCTCTAACGCTAATATTAAAACTTTATTAATTAAGAAAACCAATATAATTCCTAAGTAAAAATACACCTTATATGTACGTACGTACATACGTACTGGGTACCATACCCATGAGAAATTTTCTATACACTGATACCCTGCATATTAGGTAATAACCTTAATTTTATAGCCTGGTCAAATAAAAAAAACTTACTCTAAATAACCCGATCCACTAAAAAAATTTGCTGCCATTTCGGGTGTGATTTGTGTATATGCTACCCTAAGCACATAAAATGGGTCTGTCGCGGCATTTATAAAATCCCTATACCTCTGGATCTAGCTTTTTACAGTACTAAAAGCTGTTTCAATTGGGTTAAAATCCAGAGAATAGGGTGGTAAGAAAATCACATGGCCCCCAGTTCTCTCACTATTTCAATAAAATTCACATTTTGATAAATCGTTGCGTTATCAAGAATAATAATGTTATTTCTTTCCGGAAAGGCATTCATCATGGGAACCTATTATTAAATATATATATAATTTAATTAAATTCTATATTAAAGTCATCCGTACTAATATTATTAATTTGATCACATGACCGTTTATCACCAAAATCAACTTACCACTTGGGTTAAAATAAATTCATAGAACCGCTCTTTATTACAACTTCCTTCTATAACATCGACTGCTAGAAAACCATCTAGTAAAAGAGCAGGTAGGATCATATACCTTTGGCCGCGAATGAAAACAGTCTTTTTGTGTGCATGAACATTTATAGACGCATAGCCGTAACATCTATTTAGACTACGTTTATCTTTCGCAGCTTCATCTATGAAAATTAACTGGTCTGGGCGATAATTCGCCCCAATTTTGGCAAGAAAAGCGCTTTGTAAAAGGTCATTTCTTTCAGAGGCTATCTTGTGTAGCTAATTAAAAAATCAAAAAATTATACTACTATGGTTTCATTAACTCTTAACATTAATTACTATTACTGCTAGTATTTTTACCTTTTTATAGGAGATACCACAATATTGTAATGAACACCATATGGTTGGGACAAAAACCTGCTTTTGTGTATAGTTTTCCATCTCAACCACAAGCTCATCAAGATATAGGTCTACATTCTCTTTAACAATACGCTTTAAGAGGTTTAGTTCCTCGCTTGTGAAAGCTTTTCGGCACACAGTTTGCCCTTTAAAGGGTTTTATAATGCTTTCCCACTTTTGGAAAGTTTTTAATATTCGATGTACAGTAGAATCACTTATACGGAGAATTTTGGTAATTTCTTCGTTACTATGACCATCTGTATTCATAGAAACGATTCGCGATTTTAGATCCTCACTATATTCCTGCGACATATTGTTTGATATATCGAATTATAAGAAAAATTAAGATTTTGCGATTATTGTATTCAGAATGACTCTGTACTGACATCGCTTTTATATTTTATCTAAAAACTAGAATTATTCACAATTACAATATTCATTAAAAATGTTTCTTAAAAATATTAATGTTTCTTAAAAATATTAATGTTCCTTAAAAATGTTAATGCTCCTTAAAATAACAATGTTCTTAACTGTTAAAATAATGTTTAAAATGTTAATGCTCCTTAAAAATGTCAATGTTTAACAGTAACTCCTTCAAAAAGGTAATTGTATTCGTAGAATCTACCCCAGTAAACTGAATTTCAGGGGTCTCGATCCAATGATGACGGAAATAATCACACCTGATCTTTTACTATATTAGTTATATTAGACCATTGGGAATTTAAAATTGGTTAACGTTTAAGTTATTCATGAAAAATTTTATTTATTCACTAATGTTATTTTCCCCAAATACTATTTAAGCTACAGATAATATCAAACAGTTGGAAGAAATTTTAGACAAAAGATATATAGTTGACTCTAGATATAATGAATCTTTATATAACGAGCTCTGAATCCTAGACCCTAATCTAACTACTAAAAAAAATGCACTCCAAAATTTCATATTAAAATAATTAAAATTTCCAGCTTTAGTTGTGACAATAATTATAGTTTGAAATAATATTCTCAATAAGATTTATATCTTCATTATCTAAATTTTTTTTTTCTAGATTTCATCATCTCGTTGATGTTTTTGTTTTAATAGCTATGATGAAATAAAATTTTCATCATGTAAAGAGATTTATCTACCATTGGCCACTACCTATAATATCCCCAAAATAATATTATTTCTTGAATAAGAGCTGAGGTATAATCATATTAATGTATTACTTTTAATTAGGGATGTTAATAATCTGGTTTGGTTCAGTCTGATCAATTTTGGCCCAAGTCTAGTCTGGTCTATTATAGTTTTTTGCCTTAAGACTTTGCTAGTCTAGACCGGTCCAAACTGACCCAGTCTTAAGACTTAGAGCAGACCAATTTTTTTTAGGTTCAGACCGGTCTTAAGACTAACTGTGGTCTATTAGTCTAAGACCGGACCATATAACATCTCTACTTTTAATATGATAAATTCCTCAAATGGTTCTTCGCACAGTACTACGAGTACTGTTCAAATTTATTAATAGAGTTATTGAATAAGACCCT